ACAAACGAAGCACTAATAATGTAGACTACTTTGGTTMATTTCGGAGCTTGCTGGGGGKGRTTAYAACGTCTTAAAGACCTAAAGACATAATGCTTAATATCTCAAAAACTATAACAGCACAAACGCTCATTTTAACTGCACAAACCTGCACAAACGAAGCACTAACCAATCCGCTTACTAGTTTTAATTTTTTGTGTGGGTGGGGTGTCAGCTTCACACAGCTCAGATGATATGCATCCCTTTTAAGATCACTAAGCCTTTAATTATTGCACACTGTAACAGAAAAAATAGCAAATCAGTAGATTTAGACATGAAATGTGTTTGTTTGTTTGTTTGTTTGTTTGTTTGTTTGTTTGTTTGTTTGTTTGTTTGTTTGTTTGTTTGTTTGGGATCCACAGTTGTGATACATTAATTTTTTGTTGATTTAAAGAAAAACACTGACATATGAAAGAAGCCATAATACAATATGTACATTTTCTGTTCCAGTTAGTGAACACATGAAGCTTAAAGGTCCAAAAAGTAAAACATGAGCCACATCTGCTGCCTTTCACGCACCCTGCTGGCTTTAATGAAGGGGATGAAGACAATCTGTCAACTTCAGAACCTCTTGTATCCGGTTGCTCGCTCCCCTTCAACGTTATGCTGCCAAGCTCCCAAACTGGCCTTCGAAAACTCTGAGGGGAAGCGGTGCAAGTCAGCACGAGCGCTGAGCCGAGCGGATTAACAGCCAGACAGAAAAATTCAGGAGTGGTCATGAGAGAAAAACAGCTCATCACTGCAGAGAGCGGCCAGTTCCAACAAGGAATCAGAAGCTTCGCTTGTTTCTGCTGCGAGGAAGTCCTGCAGACGGCGCTGACTGATGTACTCTGCGCACCATATGTATGTTTAGACTGGGAACATGATCACAGTCAGGCTTCTTGCCCCACAGCTGTAAGTGATATTTGCTTTGCAGCATTTCATGTAATGACATCATGTAACTACAGGCAGGAACAGCATCTGTGGAGAACTGGGCCGAAATCTTAACAGCAGGTCAACATAAAAGATGCACAACTTGTATGTTTCAGCAATAATAAGAAGGAAATTATTTAGTTTTTAATATTAGGATTATTTTTAGCCACTATTTATAATTTCTTACCTAAAAACTAAAAAAAAAAAATTAAAAAACATGGTTTGCCAGAGGTGGACCATGAGGCCAGCACCACATAAATCAAACCACAACAGAGCCAGTTGTGTGCGGCATCGTAAAAACAGTGCCATCACTGCCAGTCCTGGCCCACAGCAGCGGCACTTTCACACCAGATCTGGCCCACACTTGTCTTTTTGTGTTACTATGACCCCATAAGCGAAGCGGAGGTCATATTGTTTTTATACAATTAATTTTTTTTCAGTGATTTTGGTCAACCGTGTCACAGAAACGGCTGCACCGGTCAACATGAAATTTGGCAGGACTGTAGATGAGTCTGACCTACACTGAGCCATCCGATGGTTTTCAGATACACCCCATATTTGAAGATGGGGCTTCACCTGAAAATGGGTGTCTGGACATACAAAAATTCTTATAACTCAAAAACTATATTCAACATTGGTTTCAGATTTATTTGTTGTTTAGATCTGATGAAACCCTCCACGTGAGTTATGGTGCAGTGGTGCTTTCCGTACATGCGGGGTTATAACACTATGCAGTATCTAGTTTTATCTTCCATCCTTCTTTCTTTGTTTTTTTGCAGTTTTTTTATTTTGCAATGTTACAGTAAATGGCTTAACATTTCTTCAATGTTTTCCTTGAAACAGTCATCAAAGATGATATAATTTAGGTTGAAACATAAAAACTTATTTTCCTTTCCGTCAGTTTGTATCTCAGTAACTGATCATACAATGCTGCAATAAACAAACTGTACTGATGCCTGTAGCCAGTCCCATCCCCAAGCACATAACCCTGCTAGTTTTCAGACTTGCAGCTAGAACACAATAAAGTGGGTCTGACAGTATTCTCAGATCCTAGTTCCAACCTATAAGTTAAATAAACAGCAGCATTAAACTAGTTTCCTACAAACTAAGGTTAATCAAACACCATTTCCAACAGGTAAGATGTTGGTTTTTTCCACAGAACCCCACTCCCAAAGATTCAAATCTTATCCTAAATGTAAACAATTAGATTAGCTAAAGAAACCAGGAGCTTTTGTCCCTGAAACTAACCTGGTTTTAATTTCCATGGTGTCAGATTAGTAAAATTGTTGGACTTATTTGAGTAGAACCTTAAATAATTGTTCAGAACTTTTCTACTAGACCATTTTATTGGTTTTCACTCTGCGGCTCGGTCCGTCTATAAAGAAACTGACTGGAAGAGCAGAAACATGGAGTAAAGAGGTCCAGATCTACAAGTGGTGCTTTAAATAAAACTATCAGGAGGAGGAATTCTGCATGAGGTCCATTTTTCCAAGCAGTTTACTCTCTGCTGGAAAAGAAAAAAAAACCATGAATAGCTCCAGCTGTTAGGATGACAAAATAAAGTAGTTACAGAGGTGTGTGTGAGCTGAAGACTTGGTTAAGTCAGGACTATTTGCATTTGGAATTACTTTAACAAGCACAGATTTGCTGAGTGAGACCAACTAAAAGCATGCTCCCCGTGAAAATCAGTCTGCAGAGAACCCAAAGTGTTTTCTTTCAAAGCAAGGCCTGCATGAGAGCATGCCGGAGACCCTAAAATAGCACCACAATCTAAAGTGAAAGGAATCATTTATTAAATATAAACCTGCTTTTTGCCATCCTCTGACTTGGCCTTGACAGTTAAAAGAATAGTGTCTTTGGTGTTTTAAATACAAACTGATTGTAGAGATTGGAGCCATTTCATCATATATATATATATATATATATATATATATATATATATATATTGTTTCACTGAAACCCCTTTTAATGCGACAGCACTGGGATTTATTCATTTATTTATTTATGTGTGATGCTAAACACAGTTTATATATTTTTAAGGCCTTATACCTCAGTAAACATTATAAATAATTTCTAAAGAACATCTAAAGTTTTATACCGTTTGAGCAAAGTGCAGAAAGAGATTTAAGCACTTCTAGCTGTGATAACTCTGAGTGGCTCTCTGTGACATCATCAGATCATTGCAGGACATGCAGGATTTGTTCCAGACTTATTACCAACATTGCTTCAGGTCACTCAGGTTCCTGCTCAGCTCTTTGGACTTTGACAACTGTGACCTCTTGATTCTTTTCTTTCTGAGTCAGTCCGTTGTAGATTAGCTGCTGTGGGGTTTTTTGGTCACCAAGGTCCTATGTTCCCCAGAACCATGGACCCACCTGGTACACTCATCCCTATATATGTGTATGTATACCTATGTGGTACAATGCCTGCACTGTAATTCAGTATTTATTTAATTTATTTTAAAAGAAATTTGAAGAGAACATGTACAGGAGAACATATAACCCTGAACCTTTTGCTGTGTTTGGGATCAATGGGCCTCATGCAGGAACATGTTCGTATTTTTATCCTAAATTTCTCTTACTTTTGTTCGTACAAAGGGTTCGTACGAACATGTCACGTCAGATTCAACAAACGCTTCTATCTTCAGGAAAAGTGTGTAAATGAGCTGCGTAAATTACACCTGTTCGTATCCAGCTGCTCGTGCACGCGAGAGGAGATTAGCATAATTACCACCCCAAAAACACCATATAAGGCTATGTTTCCTGCCTCAGATACAAGTGTTCATTCATGAAAATGACAGCGAAAATTAAAAATAAAAACTTTACGAGTTCAGAGATTGAAGTCCATCTGTCAGAGATCCAGAAAAGAAAATCTGTCATTTTTAGCAGGTCAGCTGTGGGATAAAAAGAGCTACTAAAAGTATAAACAACTGTGTTAAATCATTTTCATTTATTCAGAAGCGGCAGCGCTGCGCACCGTAAAGACCGTGGTCTCAGTTGCGGTTCTGAAATAAGCATTTTAAAATGTTTTCAAAATAAGTCTGGCACTTTGGAGAAAATCCAGGACTCGCTGGAGGGATTATGTATCCCCTCTGGTCTGGGAATGTCTCGGTGTCCCCCAGGACGAGCTGGAAAGTGTCGCTGGGGAGAGCGGGGTCTCTCTGCTGCTGCCCCCGCGACCCAATCCCGGATAAGCGGCAGAAAATGGACGGACGGACAATTTATATTGTTAGTCTAAATTATTACATTTAAAATTATAACTTTAATTCAAGCAGAATAGCCTATTGTCAACATAATTATGGAGTATGATTTATTTTCAACTCAAAATATCTTCAAACTAACGAAATATAAAGTTATTAATGAAGAAAACCCGTCTGGATAACAGCAGACTGACTGCTCGTAAAATGTACGACAGGTCTGGACCACTCGTAAATTTTGTTCGTATCTGAAAAAATTCTTAGAATACGAAAACATTGGTGAATGCCACAAATTCTCCTAAATCACTCGTACGCACAACTTAAGAACAAATCTGTGCGTACGAACGGTTCTTGCATGAGGCCCATTGCTCTGCTGCATCCAGGGGCGGTTCTAGGGGTGGGACCACAGGGGATTTGGCCCCTGCTGAAATTTGATTGGCCCCCTGAAGTGCCCCTGTCCTGTCACTCATCTGTCCATTGCCCAAGAATAATGATATACTGGGTGCACTTCCATGTCCAAACACTAGGGGCACTAATGAGCCAAATAGAACAGTCCAGCATGAATCAAGGTGACAGGAGGTTTTTTTTTCTTTTCTTAAAATTTGGACAATCCTGCAGAAAATGTATTTTAACTCACAAATGATGGCTGGATTCTCTCACATGCTGTTTGTTTGAGAGTATTTTATTTATGTAGTGGAAAAATTCATGTGAAATTTATAAGGAGAACTTACTGTGCAAGCTGTTTTAAAATTGCATTACAAGTGTTTAAACGTGTGACTGGTAAAATATATACGCAATACCAGAAAACAGCAATTTGTGTGCAAGGTTGCTGAACAAATACTTGGCCCCTCTATGAATTTTGTGGCCGCTTGATGGCCCCTTACTCAGAAAAATCCTAGATCCACCACTGGTTGCATCATGTCCAAGTTTGGTCCAACATTCAGCTGTTGGACAGATTTGACTCTAATTCTTTGGTCTACAGAGGAGTTCATGGTCGACACTGGGACTGCAAGGTGCCCAGGTCCGTGCGACTGCAAGGACCTGACCTGCTTCCTGTTGGACTCTGCGGTGGACTGGTTTTACGAGCTGGAACCGCCACAGGAACCTTCCCTCTCAGCTAGGGTTTGACCTCAGCAAACACTGGCTAACCAGAGTCAGCGTCTGCCTTTAAATCTCTCTGCATGTGAAGAATGCACAGAGAGCTCCAAGTCAAACGGGAACCTTCCTCCTGCCTGATATATAGTCACGCAGCTGTTTGGGTTTCCTCTCTTCTTTTTTTTCTCTCTCTCTCTCTCTGCACAGCCTCCAAAATGTTGCAAACGCCCGCTTCCAATGGTGGTTTTCTCCCCTCACCAAAAAAATCTTGTTTTCCCCGTCTCTCACATGTCCAGATCTTGGTGATTCTCCTTCTCTCAGCTCGTTCTGCTCCACCCAGCTGCAGATAAAAGCCAAAGTTTCACCAGAGCTGCTGTAAAGCGTCTGTCCTGAACTCTCCCTCTGCAGCAGCAGCAGCAGCAGCAGCAGTCAAAGGTAGGTCATCTGTCACCCAATGGGCAGCAGATTTCTCTTTAATACAAAGTGTTTGAACTGTAATGCAGAGACTGGAATTGTTCCCCTTTTCTCCCTCTTTTTGTTTGTTTGAATTCTTGTGAAACAAAAAATGAAGAAAAAAAAAACCTCTGAAGGAACTGGTTGAGACGTGAGCTGACTGAGAGGAACATGTAAACAAAGAGCAAATGTTTCGTCAGACAGCACAGTTTGCAGCTGGGACCTCTCTGTCGACAGATGATATCTGACATGCACGGAGGAAAACGAAAAGAAAAAATCCAGAAGATTCACCTGGGAAGAATAACTCTGGGCTTTAGCTTGTTAAAATAAATGCACTGTGCCGCATCTTGACAGGATTTAGCACCGGTTCATGGAATGCCTCCACGTTTCAGGACTTTTTAGAGACTCGCTCTGCTGCAGAAATGTTCCATTTCTTTTTTTTTTTTTTTTTTCAGTGAGGAAAAAAAGGATTAAGTTTTAAACCTCAGCAAGGCTTCAAGTTCTACACAAACAAGAGAAAATAGGATTAAAATCCCAGGAGAATTTTGGTTTTAGCGAGAATTCTCCAATCTCAGTAACAGCATATTTCAAAAATGTTCCCCTTTTCTTCAGCTTTTTGTTGGATTAAAGAAGCCAAAACATCTCTTCTTCCGAACATTTTTCTGCTGCTGTAAGAAGTCGGAAACCAGACATGAAGTGGTTTTAGCCAAATAAACAAGCTTGAGATAACGAGCTTCACATGGTTGTTGGATTTTTAGCTTCTTAGCAGTTTTTTTTACATTAAATCTAATTGTGGTCTGTGTGAGAATCTTTAATTATCCGGTAATCTTGAGCAGTTCTTTCCTATTTCAGCTAATTATCTCTTTGCAGAGGAAAAACAAACAAAAAAACGAGTTAATGAGCTGAAGCAGCTTGGGTGGTTGAGCTTGTAAATACTAGAGACATTTAAAGCTGTCAGTAATTAAGGCCTCCAGAAGAAGTTAATAAAACTGATGAGTTTAATTTCGTTTTTTATTTCATCACCCTCCACCATGAAAAATGGGCATTTGTGTCTGTTTCTTTGTTGTGTTAGCAAAATATCACATGACAAATAGTTTTTAAAGGGTTAGTTTTTAAATATTATGTGTTTCTCAGGCATATATATAAATACTATACCATAATAAAGTATCTATGTCACCTTTAGCTGTTATTAAAATATTGTTTTTATGTTTAAATAGAAAATAAACTTATCTTCTCATCACTTCCTCCTAAATGCCTTGAAATTGGCCTCTGTCTCTTTAAGAAACACATTCGCTTCTGTCCCGCCCATTTCGGTGTGTGTGTGTGTGGGGGGGGGGGGGGGGCTCTACCATGAGGAAACTCAGCTTAAAGACACGTCCCAGGGGTGTTTCTGGTACCAAAAGGTGTTTCTGGTCCCCACCTGTTGTTTTGCTCCTCAGCATGGCTTCCTAAAAACTCTGCAGGATTTCTCAAACATGCATGAATGAGTCAAAGGGCATTGGGCATGTTTTTTATGAGAGTATAACATTATAACATGATATAAAACTCAAAAAAGTTGATTTTACATGATATTGCCCCTTTAAAGTACTTACTGGCTGCACATCTGTGATCAACTTCAACACACATTTTAATCAGTATTAGTCTGCAGAAAAGTTGCTCCAACTCAGTCACTTTTACAGATTTAGAGCTAAAATCTTGTGTGGTAGTAGCTGAGAGTCGTTCCTCGTTACAACCTCTGAGTCAGAATTGAAAGCTTGGTCCATGTCAAAGGGCCAATTTCTGTCAATACATGTTGAAGAAATGTTCTTCAAGAAATTATTCTTTTACAGAAACACAAATTACCTTTTTCCAAATGATATGAAATATAGCATTTAGAGCATTCATGACCTAATGGATAAAGAAAAGACATTACATAAAGAAGGATACATCATTAGCAAATATCTTATGCCCTACTCCAAAACAACAACTGTTTGGTTTAATTTTTCGTAGCAATGCATTTTAGCACAATCCAGCAAATTAGTTAAAAATAACCCTGTAAAAATTCAACTGTTTGATGTTAAAATAAGAAGAGAATAAAGAAAAAGATAATTATATCCTCTGTTGCTTTTTCCACAGCAAAATCAAAGATTACTGAAAATGTCAAACTTGGCTTGAAGGTTGGCCAGCTGTCCTGACATTACTGCACTAAATACGGAAACCGTAAAACTATTTCATTAAAGTTTTGCCTATTAGGGCTGAGTATTGAAAAGAACTTGGTGATATGATACATATCACAGCACAGGGGTCACAATATGATATATTTCAGTGTTGCAATACTGTGAGTAAGGGTTAATACAGTATACACAGTATTACCAATTATTCCTTAAAAAGGTTCACATTTTTTAAAATTCAGTATGAAGAGCACACCATGCATCATGTACATCAAATCTTATTAAATACACTTTATATTTATGCAATGAGAAGAACATTCAACCACAGTGAGAACTGCATGATACAGTGCTGTTCAGAATCAACAGTAGCAAATATATATATATATATATACACACTCACCGGCCACTTTATTAGGTACACCACGCTAGTAACGGGTTGGACCCCCTTTTGCCTTCAGAACAAGAAAGAGAAGAAAAAAGGGAAATGTAATGGGAA